CTTCCTACTTCTTGCTATTTACTTCCAATGTAGACGTCCCTTAAGGCGTCCGCCGCGGCGCGCCGTACAGATCGCGTCGTTGTAGACGCGCGACCTCGTTCGCATCACTGGCGCGTTCACATTCATGCACTTTTGGCACTTTCGGCGCGCTAATGAACTTTTGGTGTACATGATTGACAGCGCGCGCGTCTGCGATCTTTTCATGCCGAGCAACTGCCATGGACACAACGCTCTATATTCCATACGTCTTTCGCTTGTGGCCTGTGAGTCTCCTGCGGAAATAAAGCTTGATCTACAGTGTGTTATTTGCTTCTTTTTTTTCTTTATCTCTTTCTGACTCACACTTTAAGCCTTAAACTAAAAAAAGACAGAGAACAAGAAAGCAAAGAGCACATTGTAGATTAGGCTTAAGTATAAGAGTGCCGAAAACAACGACGATCGTCAGGATATATCGTAAGTACATTATTATTATATATACTAATCTTCTCCCTTCTCGACACATACAGCTAAAGTGACCAGACGTCCCGACTTTTCACCCTTTGTCCCAAATTTTTTCGAGTGCTATTCGGGACATTGATTTGTCATCATTTTCAATGATTGTCAAATAATTTTCGAATCTTTTCCCCCCTCTCCCCGGCTTCACATATTTATGAAGTGTTCCGAATTCAGGGCTGGGAAATCTGGTCATCTTACATAAAATAACTGCGCAATGACACATACCAAACTGATAGTTGTCGATAAACATTGCAGTACAGTATACAGTCCTAGGTAGTATCCGCAGATTTGAATATTCGAACGTAGAAATACCTGGGTTATAATAACTGCATTATTAACTTAATACGAGCATTTCAATCATGCGTTACTCGCATATCACCTGTCGTTGTCGGATTTCCCGCTCGTGATTCCTGCAGATGTGAGAATTTCGCAAATTCTGTGTACAGTGTATCTCATCATTATATCATGACATCCATAAATGGTAAGATTCTGGGGATTTTGAGACGAAAATTCTAATACATTAAGGCTCCTGATCAGTCAACTCCGCGTTGACATATGCCGCGATGACAACATGATTATAAACAGCAAAATGATGAATTATTAGGTTCACAAAGTGCAGACTATTGCAATAAGTTAGAGTAAAAGAAAGTACACTTGTCTCTCTCTAACTTATTGCAATAATACAAAGTTTATAAAAAACGAACAGATGATGATAACAGATGACGACCCATTTTTCTTACGAACTACAGCATTATTACTGAGTGTAATACGTGTATGTTGTATTACATGTGATATAATTGTGGAAGTGTGGAAACTCTGGATACTGTGATTATTATGATGTTTAATGCACATAAGTAGTTATTCGGTTATATATCTTCACATAGCTGACTTTCTGTCAAAATAATTTGTCACATTTATCATGCGGTTATTATATAATAAGTTATTGCGGTAAAAGAGAAATATCATTTCACAAGTTCGAGCAAATTACAAATGTCATTTTAATGATATATATCTTTTTATTTAGCTGTGATTTGCAGGAATTTTGGGCATGGTTTTCCTTACTTCTGACGTTATCAATCCAATATGATCCCTAGTGACTGCCTAGGAGCTTTAAACTATATATCAAAGGCTCTTTACAAAGTTAAAATACAATCAAATGAAGTCTAAAGTCGGGAAGAGCACAATGCGCTGGATATTAGTGCGAGTAATTAAATTATGGGAGGGTAATATTGTTTGACAGTATATAAATGCAAACAACATTACCCTTCCATTATTTAATTATTCCTACTAATATCCAGCGCACGGCTTTCACTTGTATTTCCCCTAATGAATAACCTAATGGATAACAAAACTACATGTTTCACCTCATTTTAGGTTAAGCATGCTTGAACAAAATTCTAATTGAGAGTCTGGTTACAAAGATATACAATATTAAAAACTAGAATGTTGCGGTAATCGATGAGCTCCCTCGACATTTCCGTATAAGGATTTTCGCTTCAAAATATCCTCAGGGAATCCGCTATGCACTGGTACCACGATAATGGCAGAGGGATGGGGGAGAGGGAGCGAGAGGAGGGGTGCGGAGAGTAGAATTCCATATACAAGAAAAATTGAATTTCGCTGGTCGCGAAAAACCCGAGGCAGATCAGCTGAACGCGACGGTGCGACGAGCCGCGCGCGGAAATGAGAATCCCGCGGACGGAATTCGGGAACTATATACGCGGCGACCTGTCGGTCGTGTCGCGCGACGCATTTTATTTTTCAATGAACCGCGCCACTGGCGCTTCCGATATCGCGATTATAATTTTTCATGAGACGCCACGTGCGTGCGCGCGTCTAAGACGGTGATGACGGCGACGGTGATAGTGATGGTGAGTAACGGTAATTCAATCCAGTCAGTCCGAGTCCAGTTCGCGGCCCCAGTCCGGGTCGCAGAAGTTGGGTCGCAGCGCGCCGTATGCACACGCTCGGCTCGCAATTATCATCGATCCGCGATAAAGTCCAGCCACGATGCATGCCGGGCGGAACCGTCCGTCGGGCGTATCGTGATCCGACCACCGTATCGATCCCTCTCGGACGACGCACACTTGAGGAGGACGCGCAAAGTGGAAAAATTCATTTCCTGCGGTGCAACGCGGTGCAACACGATGCGACGCGACGCGACGCGACGGGACAGGAAGAGACGAGAAGAGAAGACAAGCGAAGAGAAGAGACGCGATGCGACGCGCTCCGCATAAATAAGCGACAGAGATAAGAGAGCGGCGGCCGCGGCGAGGATGTCGCGGGCAATTAAACAAAATTATTTATGCGGATCGTTTATCTGCGTCCCGAAAGAATATGCTACGCCCACGAAGTCGGCCAACTTTGCCGACTACTTCCTGTCACATAGAGAGAAAGAGAAAGAAAAAGAGAGAAAAAGACAATTGTCGCGTGTATTATGATTGTAATGTATACGGTCCCTTATCAATTAATTACGAAGTTATCGGCCGCGGATCGAAGGACGCGAACGAAATTCTCATGAGAATCGGAAAGAGAAAAGGACTTTGGTCCTTCTCTCTCTCTCTCTCTTTTCTTGTCTTTTACAAGGTGCGCGTAGAAAAGTATATACTGCATTCAAGTATATGTCACTTGTTTTAAGTATTTCATAAGTTTATATATCCGCAAATCTGTCAAACTCTCGTCATAAGCATCAAATTTGTTCCACACACAAATACGTTCTGAGTTCCAATGAGCTTTGCATTCCAATCAAGAACATTAAGTTAAATAAAAAATACTTGTCTACTGCATAATGTCGAAAAAATCTTTTCTTCGATAAAGTCTTATAGTATTCTTTTGTAAAGAGGATACTCTTCTTAATGATAATGATAATAAACTTTTGTAAAATTTCCAAGGAATATATCTTAAGACCGTTATATCAAGAAAATATTCTTTATTGAAGATAACTGTTACTTAAAAAAAGAAAAGTGAGCTGAGTAATCGATTTTCTCAGCAGTAAGATTATATTTTTCTCTATGTGCAGGTTTTATATCTTTCACGTTTCTCCTCGTCATCTACGTATTTCTTTATCGAGCCTGAAATAGGTTTTTTTTTCCCATGACGGGAATAACGCGACGACGCGAACGCGAGAGAACATCAATATCGACATTTCTTCATGATAATTGCATCATCAACGGCGAATGCGTGTCCGCCTGTTTTTCCTCAAATTGTACTCAAGGTTGCTCTTGCAAAATTGTTATCGCGTGACGATAACTTCGCTGCGTAAACGTAAGAAATCGCGCGCGTTCTTATCTGTTGACGAGAAAACGACTCGTACGATCGATTATCGCGAGTTTCTCGAAACGCCTCTTTCCGATTCGCGATTTGCATCTCCATTATACATCATGTGTATACCTATAGCATTGTAATCGTTCGTCTATCACGGCCCGAGGAGGAAGCGTCAATGACGACAAATGACGTGGAACGTCGGATGAGGCATAAAAACGTCTTATCGCGTTACTTGTTCCCTCTTCTAAGTGCAGACACGGTGCAAGAAAATCTGTGTGCAGGAATCGCACTGCGGAAGTCCGTATCTTTACACGGAAAAAAATGTTTGGTTGAATTAACCAAATATCTGGTCGAATTCTGAACGATTCAGAAATTCCGATTGAAATAACCCGAATTCTGTTTAAGTCAACCAAAAATCTTGTTAACTTAAACAGAATTCGGGTTACTTCAATCGGAATTTCTGGATCGTTCAGAATTCGACCAGATATTTGGTTAATTCAACCAAACCTTTTTTTCCATGTAGGATTCCTCAAGTTTTGCTCCCGTTTTGTCGAATAAATAACGAGAAAGAGCGATATATATATGAATAGATAATTAAGATATTTGTTAAAGATATTTATTAATATTCTATAGTTTGCTCTCTAAGAACGTAGAAAAGAAAAGATACAAATAATACACGGAGAAAAGTTTATTGTAATTTTTATTACAATATTTTCTCCGTGCATATGAAAAAGAAGTGTATATGTGTGTGTATATATGAGAAAGAGAAAGAGCGCGCACTCACGTAGTTAAAAGCCAAGTCGAACGAATCTGTTATTACGCGCATATATCTACGCGATTAAGAGCGAGCAACTTACGCCTTTTTACGCCTTTTATATTTCACAAATTACGGACTTCTTATTAATGTATTCACGCGATTTACTGTGGCATAGACAGCGCTCAGTAATCGTGCAAGGTACTAAACGCGATAAGACGAGTTTCCCTCTTCGTTTTTCTTCCACGCTCCGCTTATACATACTTGTGAAGCTTCCTAAGGAAATTAACCGGCGTGTAAACCGATAAACACCTTTAATTGGAACACTACGTCGACATATTTACGCGTCACTTTGTGCGACAGACGTGAATCGAAAAACTGCTGCTAATTTTTTGTTGGAACAGCAGAAAATATAGTTAACGTAGGAAATGACTATAATTTCATTGAGATTAATGATTTCTCTTTTTCTTACTATTCGTCGACTCACCTGCGGTAGCGCGATGACGATATTGGCGTTTCCTTCCGCTCTGTAAATCGTCTCCTCTATCCTGAGAGTAGTCACAGGAAGACTCATCTCGGATACGGGCGACGATTCGTCCCTTGAATTTCCGGCGGAAGCGGATATCGATTCCACGTAGGACGCAATAGATCCCGAACGATATCCTCGATCGTTTCTCGCCATTTTATCGCCGAACCTGCAAAATATACGAAGAAGAAAACGCTTAGGTAGCAGATCGACGAGAAAAGTTCGTACCATGTACATGACTTCCATTGGAAAATTCGGAGAATTTTTTCTCTCGCGACACGTGTTTCCAAATATTTCTTACGAGACGATATCAAAGTATATTGTAAAATTATTGTTTCTAGTCGAATGTCCAATTATTACTATTAGCCGAATGTTTCTACGATAGTCTCTTAAATAAATCACTCAGATATACTCAATATATTCATATTATTTGTATTATTTTTTAGCGGCAGAATGAGGACTTACATCATTAATTTGTTCTGTTCTCAAATTGAACTCAAAACTTTACTGTAAAGCATAAATAATAATACTATCAATTTTCAACCGAGCTAATTCGGGACAGCTGACTGGCCTGATGCTTCAATTAATTAGTTATGTCAATATTTCCGGCTCAACTACGATTTTCTTCTGTTCTGCTTTAAACCCATATTAAAATTATTATTTGAAATTCACCTCAAGTGAGATACTCGGATTTGAATTCAGAGTTAAATGAAAGTTTTCCAGTTGAATTATGCTTACAAATATAAATGTTACACCATAATGATTCAGCTGACAATCTTGGATCTATCTCTGAGTAAAAACCTGAGTATCTCATATGAGACAAGTTTCAGGTGACAACTATTGATACGTGCCTTACTTCTGACTTCTATCCCTTGCGCTACTCTAGCTCCATAATTTATAAATAATAACAAGGTGATCTAGTATGTTTTGATCTATTCGAGCTTAAGCTATATTCGTTGTTATCGATCGATGCCTCTGCACCGATGCCGCCTTTCGCGGCGATGTTGCTCCGTAATGAATCTGTAATGTATCTCTTAAGCGTCTTCTACAATGGCAGTAGGAGTAGTAGTAAGAAATAAGCAGTAAGCAAATTGACCAATTCCATTCTTACGTTTCAAAAATAATCGATTGTGATTGGTCTATTTACTTACTGCTTATTTCTTACTACTACTCCTACTGCCATTGTAGAAGACGCTTTATAGTATCGTCAATCGTTCGCGCGCGCACGAACACAAATTAGAAAGGGTTTTGCGTCGCGGCGCGATAATGTTTATTGAACATGCGTATGCAGTCGTAACGCTGACGTAACGCGCGACCGCGCGAGATATCAAGTCGGTCAAGATTTGCGCAGCCATGACATTTCTTTGGGTACGACTTTGTCGGGGCGAGCCGGTAGCGGTGCGTCGACGGCGGTGCGGGAAGCAAAATCGTCACCTCGCAAGCTAGTGCACCGCCGTGTACATACAGGGTGTCTGACAATTAACGACACACTCGTTATGTGCAAGTGGAACTCGTCAAATTAAACGTAAAATTCTTCCAGCATTTCGTAAACAACCATGTAAAATTTTCAATTATTATTTAAAGAAGACTGGCGAATGATCACGCGCGATACAGCAAGTGAGCTGTAATGGCGACGTCTGCCGTTATGTAGGAGTGTATGAAGTTGGCACCCCACTTTTTGAAATTTATAATTTTGAAAGTTGTCCCAGATTGTTCTGACTTTGTACCACATTGTTCCAAAGTGAAATTGCTTCATTCAAAACGGTTTTCGAATAAAACAAAAAAAATGATTTTTTGAGTTGACACCCCACTTTTCAAAAATCGAACATTCTGATACCGCAATAGATTGTTCTAGTTGTTCCAAACATTGTTCCAAAAGGATAAATCCGTAAGTTAAATTATAAGTCCAAAAAAAGAAAAAAATGTTTTTGACCTGGCATTTTTTGAAAATAAAGCATTCCGATACCGATATAGATTGTTCTAGTTGTTCCAAACATTGTTCCAAAAGGATAAATCCGTAAGTTAAATTATAAGTCCAAAAAAAGAAAAAAATGTTTTTGACCTGGCATTTTTTGAAAATAAAGCATTCCGATACCGATATAGATTGTTCTAGTTGTTCCAAACATTGTTCCAAAAGGATAAATCCGTAAGTTAAATTATAAGTCCAAAAAAAGAAAAAAATGTTTTTGACCTGGCATTTTTTGAAAATAAAGCATTCCGATACCGATATAGATTGTTCTAGTTGTTCCAAACATTGTTCCAAAAGGATAAATCCGTAAGTTAAATTATAAGTCCAAAAAAAGAAAAAAATGTTTTTGACCTGGCATTTTTTGAAAATAAAGCATTCCGATACCGATATAGATTGTTCTAGTTGTTCCAAACATTGTTCCAAAAGGATAAATCCGTAAGTTAAATTATAAGTCCAAAAAAAGAAAAAAATGTTTTTGACCTGGCATTTTTTGAAAATAAAGCATTCCGATACCGATATAGATTGTTCTAGTTGTTCCAAACATTGTTCCAAAAGGATAAATCCGTAAGTTAAATTATAAGTCCAAAAAAAGAAAAAAATGTTTTTGACCTGGCATTTTTTGAAAATAAAGCATTCCGATACCGATATAGATTGTTCTAGTTGTTCCAAACATTGTTCCAAAAGGATAAATCCGTAAGTTAAATTATAAGTCCAAAAAAAGAAAAAAATGTTTTTGACCTGGCATTTTTTGAAAATAAAGCATTCCGATACCGATATAGATTGTTCTAGTTGTTCCAAACATTGTTCCAAAAGCACGACTCAATAAGTTTAATTATAAGCCCGAAAAATGAAAAAAAAGTTTTTTGACAAAAAGTCTATCGGACCAAGAGTAAACTTATACTATCTTTCTTGTTCCAACCGAGATCTTTTTGTTCTGAGTTGTGCTACGTTTAAGAATTATAGTTTTAGAGTATGAGACTCGTAGCGTCATCCGTTCTCCAAAAATTCGAAAAAAAAATCGATTATCTAAAAAATCTGAAAAAATTCTGGGATACTCTAGAGAGATTATATTTTATGTTCCAATAGTTACTTTAGTCATTTATTAACAATTTTTTGCAATACAAACAATTTAAATTTGCCGAAATCGACAAAAAATATAATTTCGTAAAAAAAATTCATAACTTAACAACATATTAAAATTAACAAAAATATTTTCAGGTTTTTTTAGATGAAACTATTTTCTTAAAAAAAAAAGTTCTATATACTGATTTAAAAAAGTATAATTATTTGGATGATTGAAAATAAGGATGATTGAAATATATTTCTGAGGTGACAAAAATTCAAGAAAAAGATGATTTCTTACAAAAATTAATCTTTATTATAGGAAAATTGGCGGAAATAATTACAAAATGTCATGACAAAATAAAGTGAAATTGCTTCGTCGTTTAAGCCTAGTATAACTCAGAACAAAAAGATCTCAGTTGGAACAAGAAAGGAAGCATGTGTTTACTTTTGATATCGAGTACTGTCAAATCGATTTTTTTAAGAATTTTCGGAGAGCGAATGATCTTATGAGTCTCATACTCTAGAACTATAATTCTTAAGCCTAGAACAACTCAGAACAAAAAGATCTCGGTTGGAACAAGAAAGATAGTATAAGTTTACTCTTGGTCCGATAGACTGTTTGTCAAAAAACTTTTTTTTCATTTTTCGGGCTTATAATTACTTATTGATTTGTGCTTTTGGAACAATGTTTGGAACAACTAGAACAATCTATATCGGTATCGGAATGCTTTATTTTCAAAAAATGGGGTGCCAGGTCAAAAACATTTTTTTCATTGTTTGGACTTATAATTCAACGGATTTGTCCTTTTGGAACAATGTTTGGAACAACTAGAACAATCTATATCGGTATCGGAATGCTTTATTTTCAAAAAATGGGGTGCCAGGTCAAAAACATTTTTTTCATTGTTTGGACTTATAATTCAACGGATTTGTCCTTTTGGAACAATGTTTGGAACAACTAGAACAATCTATATCGGTATCGGAATGCTTTATTTTCAAAAAATGGGGTGCCAGGTCAAAAACATTTTTTTCATTGTTTGGACTTATAATTCAACGGATTTGTCCTTTTGGAACAATGTTTGGAACAACTAGAACAATCTATATCGGTATCGGAATGCTTTATTTTCAAAAAATGGGGTGCCAGGTCAAAAACATTTTTTTCATTGTTTGGACTTATAATTCAACGGATTTGTCCTTTTGGAACAATGTTTGGAACAACTAGAACAATCTATTGCGGTATCAGAATGTTCGATTTTCGAAAAGTGGGATGCCAGCTCAAAAAATCATTTATTTTGTTTTATTCGAAAACCGTTTCGAATGAAGCAATATCACTTTGGAACAATGTGGTACAAAGTCAGGACAATCTGGAACAACTTTCAAAATTATAAATTTCAAAAAGTGGGGTGCCAACTTCATACACTTGTTATGTAGACCAGGTCAAACGAACGAAGAAGTTGTCTGCCATTTTGCAAAATGGCACTTTGTCATTTTGCAAATGACTACGTAGATTTTTAGTTATTAATTAATTAATAAAAGAACGTTGGTGCACTATCGATTATCCGCCGATCTGCTTTAATTAATAATTTTAAATGGTCATTTGCAAAATGATAAAGAAATCTTGCATTCAGTTTGATGTGTTCTACCTCACACACAATGAATGTGTCATTAATGATCAGACATCCTGTATATCGCGCCAGACTCTGCCATGGAAATTTAAATGCGACCGGCCGGCCGCCCGATTTCGATCAAGCGCGATCGTGGGATTGCGCGACACGCTCATGACGATTTCGCAATGCGATCGACCGATTGCTGATTGGCCCCGCCGTCGCCGTCGATATTTAGCCTTCATGGAAGATCTATCGCTAAGCTACAGGCTTGGCCTTAACCCTAGTAGAACTGAGTTTTTATCTATGAGAGGGAGAGAGAGAAGCCATGAAAAATTGAATGGACATTATCTACACACATACACACACGTGCAATTATAGAAAATGCACTTTCATTGAGAGGAAAAATGGTTAATTCCATTAATGTTGTAAATATTTGATCTTTCATCTTTCCTTCGATCCACACGGTGCCACGGTAGTTCAACAAATGACAGTGAAAATGACGTTGGGCGGCTATTAAGCCTCGAACATTTTTTCCTATTGCATTTCTGGTATGGGCGCGTTCAGTGCAGCCGTTGAGATATTATCGTCTTTGTTTGAGGTATTTTTTTAGATGGGACATCTAAAAGAATATTTCAATAACAGTAAGCGTTCACTGAACCGTTGCGTTTACTGAACGCAGCCGAAGTCTCCGAATAACAAAGACTCTTTAGTTTGTTCTTTTCCGCTGCACTCTACCTAGATTTGCACTAGTTCCGTTCTCCCCATTTTTCCACCAAGTCTCTGCTGTATACCTGTTTCCTTTTAAGTTTCGTGAGTATACATTAGTTTTCAGCGAAAAAGAACAGACCTCTTGGTACATTTATATTGCGCCGGTAAAACTTTAGATCTGCTCATTTAAGCTACACTTGCGATCGAATAGATTATCCCACTTTTTCAGATGCGTTCCGGATCGTATCAATCTTGTCCAATGAGAAAATTTGTTCACCAATGGAGGAATTGTCAAATTTTCCTACACTGGTTTTTTTCTTTTTCATGTAAAGTTTTCTTACAACACGAATTAATTGTCTTTGGCACAGTTACTGACGTACGTGATACGGACGCGAGGCTAAAGTTTACACAGACGCGTCATCAGATGTTAGTACGACCTTAATGAAAGGGTCAACCGACGGCAGCACTTTCTCCCGTGTTATATTTACGAAACGTATCTTTAAAAAAAAAAGCCAAGAGCGCTATTTGCGCGCCTGCCTCTACCATCGTTACGTAAGATCCTTGTTCTCAGAGAATACGAATTTCTCACACTAACCGCCTCGCCTTTAGACACGTTCAATGCCTTTCTGTAACTGGTGACGTAATTACCCGCTGTCAATGACCACGTAATTGTAAGAAACGCCATCAGCGCGAAGAAGGCAGGTATACGCATATATATAGCGTGCGGGCATCATTGTCTCTCATCGAGACGAGAGGAGGCAGGAATTTACGGGCGATTTGATTATAAAAGCGACGCGTTGCGTCCTGTAATATGACGATTTTATTTAATTTCTATATTCATAAAAAGAAAAGTGTTATTCGCGGAAAGTCGCCTTGTCTCGATATCGCGATATCGAGCTATAAAATTGTATATTAGACTATTATCGGAAAGCGACATGGCGCACTATTACGTGTCGATGAAATGTCTCTCGCGAATGACGACTCGATCGACCATGTAACACTCATTTCGTACATGCAAAATCGGAAAACGGTATTTCGACGGCGGTTAACATGGCATATGCCTGGAACAATAACCACAAAGTTGAGTCGGATCCTACCCAGTTTTTTTAAGGTTTTCTCAATAAAAATATGCTTCAAATTTTCCCTTGCAACCACATACTATAAGTGAAAGAATTGTATAATTTTGTATTTTAGCAAAAATATACGAAGAAAGTTTCATTACATCACAGTTCTTTTAGTGCTGAAATCGTCAACTTGCGCGTACACAGTTAAACAACAATAGCGCTCTGAATTGAATCCGATCTTACTCCTTTTTTTCTCCAATTTTGACATACCAGAAATGTAACGTCATGTCATTGACTTCTCGACTAAAAATGCAGTGCAAGTTTCAATTAAAATTCCACAAAACTCAATTCACGATACAGTTGCCTTAAATGTCCTCACGAAGTTATCGATATTCTCAAATCGAAATTTAGAGTGACAGCTACGATTATTTATCAAACAATAACAATCCCGAATGCTGGTCTAAATTTCGAATAAATTCTCTTATATTTTAGATACTTTTTCCTCTTAGACAAATATCACATTTGATATTATAAATATCAATCTGAAGTTCAACTCTGATACCTCCTAGTAAATTCATTACGTCAAACGTCAATTAAAACAGCGTTAAACGCCAATCAAAATTTAATATATTAATCCCCAAACTCCTATATAATGATTAATTTGACATATATGCACTGAGAAAAATACGAAATTTTATTTGTGAGATATAAAATATATTTCTGTAGAAAGTATTTTGGATTCTCTCTCTCTCTCTCTCTCTCTCTC